GCGAAAAGGGGTGCCCTTGGTTTTCATTTTTCAGATGACCCGGCCCAAATTATCTAAATCAAAACCTGCCCTTAGTGTTCAAGGCTGTTTTCCAGATACTGTATGTTGTTATCTACCCTAGATTCTTGAACGGAGATATCAGTCTATAAAGTGTAGGCTTCAACATTTATTAGAGAAAAGGGCTAGTATTGTGTTTTGTATCATATAAACTATAGCTAGCTCTCACGCTCTACCATTGAGCTAAAGCTGGCTTGTATAAAATAATTATTTTCCAAAAAAAATAATAATAATCCATATTATATTTTAAGATTTGTAGAACTTTTAATATGAATTTCAAAACTCAATTAGATCATTTTTCTGAGACGGCGGGAGTATGATTTTATTGTCTTCTGGCTTGTATATAGGCTCTTGTTTTCTATTCTTTTCGTCATATAACCGTGTGTTATACCTTTTTTTTTAAAAAAAAAAAAAAGTACAATAGGAGGAAAATCACCTTAGGTAATCTCGAGGTCACAAATTCAAGTACAAAATTAGGACTTTATGTATGAGTTTACCCTAATAAGTCCTCTAAAGGTGTCAATGAGTAAGGGTAAAGTCACCCCTCGCTCTTATTGAAGTATGGATTGAACTCATGACCTTCTTTTGAGAGTAAAGGTAGTTTTACCACCGAATCAACACGTCATTCGCAAAGATCAAAATAATTATTTTTTTTGTTTGTTTTGTGCCGTATTTCATTTCAAGTAGTTAGAGACCAAAAAAAAAAAAATCTTGTTAAGATGTATTGTCTCACATCGCCAGTATGAAGAGAAGTGGCTCATTATATAAACTCTAAAGGTCACCCTACTCATTTGTCAATTGATTTTGAGATGGGAGTCTAAATACTTATATACGTTGACAAATCTATATAGCAAAATTGCTCAGTAATCCTTATGTAATACTTCCTCTATTCCAATTCAATAGGTTCATTTAGACAAATACAAAGATTGATAAATAGTAGGTAACATAGTTTAAACTAGATGGTACCCGCACGATGTGCGGGATAGATAAATTATGTATAAATCAAACATAATAAAAATCAAAGAAATATTTTATATTTTAGTAAATTGATATCTGATATAAAAACACTAAGTTAAATAATGTTACATTAAAAGTAATTTTTATGCGCTACTTATTTACAGAAGAAAATAAATAGATCCATATATTAATCTACGTGTTAAATATATTTTATTTTCGTGAATTATCAACATATATTTCGCCATGTTGTCCCAAAGAAAACATCAAACATTGAAATCATTAATTAAGATTGGCAAAGAAACTCACCGTGATGTGCATTCGAAAAATCCTTGCTGCAGAAAATATTTGCCCATAATTTCCAAAAGTTAGAAGCGAAAAACTTTTGACACAAAAAAATAATGATTATTAAAAAGAAAACATAAATCCTAAAAAAAAAGAGAGAAGAAAAAGAAGAAAAGATTCTGGTATAAACTGAGATTGCAACCTAGTTGAGTTTTATAAGCACACTTTATATATACATAATAATTTTATTCACATGATTAATGCGATTGGAGTGATTATAGGCATACGTTTATATTTGATTTTGTTAAAATAAAGTAAATGGATATTCGTGTATGCAATTATGACTGATTATCTCTAAAAAATATTATCTACAATTTTTTTAATTATTTCAAATTTCAAAATAATATTAATATTGTTTAATGATCAAACCAATATGTAATGGTATTATTCAATCCAGTCGGAAAATATTTTCAAATCAATCAGTTTTAATGTTGAATTAAAGAATCACTGATTATTTGGTAGTTATTATTTTCGAATTTCAAAAAAGCATTAATACTGTTTAATGATCAAACCAATATTAATGGCATTTTCAAGCCAATCAGAAAATTTTTTCAAATCAATCAGCTTTAATGTTGAATTAAAGAATCATTGATGATTTTGTATTTATTATTTTTGAATTTTAAATAATCATTAATATTGTTTAATGATTAAATCAAGACGTAATATTATTATTCAAGCCAATCGGATAATCTTTTTCAAATCAATCTTATTTAATATTAAGATTTTAAAAAATTTTTGTTTTCTTTTTCATTTTAAGGAATGTAAAATAGAAAGTTTACCACACAATTAATTGATATACTTTAATTAAGAATTGATAATAATTTATTAACTGAAAATTTAAAGGACCGTTAGTGTAATTATTGTAAATATTTTTTGTGACAACCTATAAGGAAATGACACACAGGATTTTGTCCTATGTGTCAAAGAGGGGAGAAGTTTGATTTCCTCTCTCTGGTTTCTCTCTTAGTATAATACTATAGATAGTTAATTTTTGGATAGTTCACCTAATATGCCCTTATTAATGAGCTAGTTAATAAGGTAAAATTGAGACTTAGATTTAATTAAATGTTCTAAATTACAATAATAGTAGTAGGAGTATATTTAAGAATTCAAAGATAAATTTGATAATAAAGTCTGAAGTGAGAATTGAACTCATGACCTCCTTTTGAAAGTAAGAATAATTTTACCACCGAACAAACACCTCATTCGCAAAGATCAGACCAATTAGTTATTCGTTTTGGTGTTGTGCCATATTTCATTTGAATAGAGACAAAAAAAAAATCTATTTAGTAAAATTGCTCAGTAATCCTTATATGTAATACTTTCTTCACTCCCTTTCAATAAACTCATTTAAACAAATACAGATATTAAGAAAAGTCAGTAACATAGTTTATAGTTAATTTATGAGTAATTCATCTAATATGCCCTTGTTAATGAGCTAGTTAATATGCTTAGATTAAGAGTTAGATCCAGTTAAATATTTTAAATTACAACAATAGTAGTGGATGTATATTCCAGAATTCAAAGATAAAATTAACAATAATGATTGAAGTGGGACTGAATCTTTAAAAAATCTAAAAAGAAAAATTTCCCTATTCAATTAAAATGGAGAGAATGCATAAAACGAATTTTACTGTATATTGGTTCTCTATCGCAGCCGATGGAACTATTTGTCCTTTAAATTTGTAATAAGAATAAACTATGTCTCTTAGAGACAAAAAGGAGTAAACTATGTATAATCATAATAGTGTAAAAAAGAAAGTAAAGGTAACATTTAAAAGCATAGTTACCTTGCAATACTGGAGTCAAAAATAGAGAAGGATTGTTTGTCCTCTAAAAGATAGTCTTTGTATCTGGGAAAATATTTATTGTTCACAAAATAATTCGCATTTGATACCAGTATTTGTTTTTGATTTCTTACATATTTCTTATAACACCCGAATATGTAGCTTTACTTGACATCCAAACTTAGTTAAGTCAAAGCAGAGTTGGAAGTCAAATCACAATCTCTGCAAATTTCCTTTTGTCAAACTGAAAGTTCATTCTTTTTTTTTTCCTTGTTTATATTCCAGAAAAATAATTCATATTCAGTTTTTAGATTTATACGTGTCCATCGAGTTTTGAGAATCTCAAAATTCGATATGGACTATTTTTATGGGATGGTAAGAGAAAAGGGAAATGATATTAGAAGGAAAAAAGGGAAAAAAAAAAGACAAAGAAAAAAGAAAAAAGTTGAATCTACTGGATTCAGATTTGAATTTGGGGGTGGAGAGCCAGGATTGAACCCAATGCTAACCGAACAGTCAAACAAATTCTGAATCCGATTCCAGATAAACAAACAGCTCTTAAGAAAACAGAGTTAATTGGAAGACAAATCACAATCTTTGGGAATTCCCTTTTGTCAAACTGAAAGTTCATCAATTCTTCTTTTTTCTTGTTTATATCCCAAAAAATAGTCCATATTTAGTTTTGAGATTTATATGTCTATATTGAGTTTTGAGATTTAATTTTTTTGGACTATTTTAAACAATCATATGAAACAAACCTCAAAAATCTATATGGACTATTTTTCTAGGATAGAAAGAGTAAATAAAAAGAGAAGGAAAAACTATTTGATAAAGATACAAACTATGTCTATACAGGTTACGAATATTACTGCAATTCGTGAACAAATATTACGAATTTATGTATATTTGTCTTTTTGGAGGATTATTTGTAAAGGTTACAAGGAATGTGCTTGATATATATAGCCCTTTGTTTCATAATGATTGTTATATTTGATTTTTATTTTCAATACAATTTGTATTATATTAAAAAATAAAATTTAAACTGAAGGATATTTGTTCGGTATGAAACGAATACTAACGTTGACAAGTTGGATTTGGAGCTTTCAATTAATGTTTAGAATATTTACTTTAGGGTCTCAACCCTACAAGTAACAGTTAATTGTCAATATTTTTCCATTCACAAGATATATTAATTTGATTAGGTTTTTGTCCCTAATTCGTACCAACAAAAACAAGATCAATATTTTTCTCCCAATTCTTTTTGTGATATATAATAAATCGCAATATTGGTTAGTTTATCAGGGGGTGTAGCTCATATGGCAGAGCGCTCGCTTCGCATGCGGGAGGCACGGGGTTCAATTCCCCGCACCTCCACTGCTTCTACAAGTTTGCTCTTCTACTAACCTATTTTTTTAATAATGTAATTCTACTGGCACGTACGAACCACCAATAATCTTAAGCGATGCTTTATTTTGTCTACTCCGCGAATATCACTTATTGATTCGGGCAAACTCCGAGCTCCGGAATGTCGACAAATCATCTTGTAGAATGTTAAACCCTAAACCCTAAAGAGAATTTGGCAGTGTCCTGTTGTGTGTTTCAGATTGGATTAGGATTTTATTTTTCTTTTATGAGTTGGAAAGGGGGTAAATAACAATCTTTATATATCCTGTGCAACCTGTGCTTTTGGTATTATTCTCATGAAAAACACATTCATAATTTTCAATAACTGGTTTCTTTTTTATCTAATCCTGGTGAAAGACAAGATTTTTTTATTTTTTTTTTGTTGCATTGGACTTTATGTATTCAGCAGTTTCCTTTTTGAGTGTTTGAGATCTTCCTTGTGGTTTTGAGTCAATGGCGTCATCATCCGCTCCTCCCCGGGAGTCGTGGTTTACGCCGGTTAGATTGCTTGTGGTATTCTGTGTGATCAACTTGATTAACTATGTGGATCGCGGAGCCATAGCAAGTAATGGTGTGAATGGAAATCCAAAAACTTGCACCAAAGGAGGTAAATGTTCAGGCGGCAGTGGTATTCAGGGTGATTTCAATTTAACTAATTTTCAGGATGGTGTTATATCATCAGCTTTCATGGTTGGATTCCTCGTGGCATCTCCAATATTTGCTTACTTAGCCAAGAAATTCAACCCTTTTCGGCTTATTGGCGTTGGCTTAACTGTCTGGACTATTGCTATAACTGGTTGTGGTTTTGCAATTGATTTCTGGTCGCTTGCCATCTGCCGCATGCTAGTTGGAGTTGGTGAGGCTTCTTTTGTGAGTCTCGCGGCACCTTACATTGACGACAATGCCCCGTCTAGGAAGAAAACAGCTTGGTTAGGTGTATTCTACATGTGTATACCCTGTGGCGTCGCACTTGGTTATGTCTATGGCGGATTGGTTGCCAACCATCTCAGTTGGCGGTATGCATTTTGGATTGAAGCCGGTATGATGGTTCCTTTTGCTATATTAGGGTTTGTGATGACTCCTTTGCAACTTAAGGGTTTTGTCCAAACTGAATCAACGCCAGCAGCATCAGAGGGTCAAAGGGAAAACTTTTTGAGAGATGTGAAAAACATTTTGGTTGACAAGGTTTATGTTGTGAATGTTATAGGTTATACAGTGTATAATTTTGTCATAGGTGCATACTCCTATTGGGGACCAAAGGCTGGTTATAACATATACCATATGAAAAATGCAGATATCATCTTTGGTGGTGTGACATGTATATGTGGTGTGTTTGGAACTTTAGCAGGAGGTTTTGTTCTAGACCGGCTGTCTTCCACGATTCGCAACTCTTTCAAGCTTCTTTCTGTTGCGACCTTGTGTGGGGGAATGTTTTGTTTTGCTGCTTTTTGCTTCAAGAGCTTATATGCTTTCATTGCTCTTTTTGCAATAGGAGAACTTCTCCTTTTTGCCACTCAGGGTCCTGTGAATTTTGTGTGCCTTCATTGCGTGAACCCTAGTTTGAGGCCACTGTCAATGGCATTGTCTACTGTATCCATTCATGTCTTTGGGGATGTGCCTTCCTCACCGCTTGTTGGAGTTCTTCAGGATCACATTAAAAACTGGAGAGCAACCGCGCTGATTCTAACATCGATTTTGTTTCTCGCGGCCTTGGTATGGTGTTTTGGTATCTTCCTCCACAGTGTTGATAGATTTAATGAAGGAATCGAACCTGAGATTGCACCAAGTGATAGGTCAAACACGGCACCTTCACTCGAGGATAAGCCGATTGAAACAAACAATCAAAGCTTGTGCTAAACAAACCATCATCATTCAAAAAGCAAGGTCAAACATTGTATGTAGTTCTCTTTTAAGTATTTCATCTCGGTCCTCGAGTGAAAATTAGGATATACTCTATTCCGAAAAAAAAAAAAAGTTCATATTGAGTTTTGAGATTTATACTAGTTTTTCAACATATTTAAAAAATCAATGCGGACTATTTTTCTAGAGCGAAGAGAGTAATTCATCTTACCCTATCAAAGCAGAATACAGGATGTTGATGTGACAACTTCTTATTAAAAATTTTTAGCTCCAAATGCACCATATTGCATTAACTATTCTGCCATGTGTCATCAATTTTTAAAAGAAAAAAAAAATTCTTATCCGGAGAAACAAAAGCTACTTTACAAAAATAGCTACACAATTTTAACTCCTAACATTTATCATTTATCAATCAAATTAAAATAGTATTTAAATTTGCCCATAAACTTATCCTCTTTATTACTCCACATTCTTTTGTATGATTTCTGCATCGTTGTACTTTTCAATATTTTTTCTCCTTTGACAGATGATTTTTTTATTTTTATTTTTATTTTTGGCTAAAAAAGGGAAAAAAAAAAAACCAAATGTGTAGCTATTTTATTTTTCCGAAATCAAGAATTCATTTATCTATTAACACAAAATTAAAGTAGAGAGGCGCCCGGACAGATCATCTAGTTCATTTTATTGTTGTTTGTTGATGAATAAAGATCTCGAGAAGCACGGGAGATGTGGCATTTGTTGCTCGCTTATAATTTTAGATTTTCCTTTTGTTAATTGCATTTTAATATGCATCAACAATTTATTTTCAAGCATAAATACCATTCTGTCATGTTACCTTTTGGTAGATGAACATGATAAGATTTTCGATTTTCCAGTTTTCATTTGTTACTGCATTCTTTGATTGTAAAAAGAGTGTCAAGTTTAAAAGTAATTGAAGAAACGTCTGAGAAGTAATCATTCCATCCCATCAAACGGAAGCTGATAATGAAGGGACTGATCAAGAGGAAATTGCTAATGTATTGAAGCAAGCTTTACAAAGATGGAATGTGAAATGCCAGAAAAAAATAAAGAAAAAATGGAGCTGGAAGCTGAATGTGTTTCAATATGAATTCGATGATTTAACTATTCAGAATCGGCTCTATTTTCCGAAGTCATGTAGTATTTTCCGCGGGAAGGTGAGAAGCCTTCTGTGAGGCATCTGGGAGCCATGCAGCAAATTATACTGGGTAGTGGGTATAATCAGTATGGACTAATCTATCTCTGGTTGTGACTTTCCACACTATTAGATGATCTATATCCTCTTTAATTAAACTATATGGTAGGAATATGATAGTATATGTATTATTCAGTACTCACTCACAAAATGTGATGTTTTAGGTTATTTTCTTTACATTCGAACTCGAATGCAAAATTAGTTGGAAGCAGTATACTACATAAATATAAAGTACAGTATCTTAGTTTAAATACACTCTCTTGGTCTCGAAATAATTATCTTAGTTTAAATTATTCTAAAACTGAAAATCAAAACTAGACAATTATTTCTGAACTGTGAGAACACTTAAAATGTGTGATTTAGCTCTTTTGATGATCTTCTTGGTCTGCCCTTGTTGAATCCATTCTGGAAATGGTCTCCTCTTCTTGCACTATCACCACCATAATTCCATAAAATCCACCGTGTCCAAACTTTCAATGGGTTAACTTCACCCTCCACAAACTCTTTTGCATTTTCGAATAAATACGTACGTCTTCAACTCCAATGCTTGTGCATCATTACATGGACAACTTTGACTTTAAATCACGTTATTAGTCTTGTTTCTCCGAAACATAGAAGGCACCTTCTCTTCCACATTCCTTGAATTCTCATCTATAAACTGAAAAGTCGTAAATAAATTACGATGATCAGCAAAAGTTAAAGTCTCTGATCGAGGAACCATCCAAAGTAGATTCTTTGGTAGGGTTAAATTGATTGTCTCGTAGCATTTATTAAGGCGAAAACAACGTGTACCTATAATTAAGTGCTTAATGTTCCCAAGGGAAGGAGCACCCCTAATGTAAATTCGAGATTTTGTTTGGAATTATCAATTCGCGATACTTGAAGTCTTCCAACTTGACTGTCTCAAAATGATTCAAACTATCGGATGTCAGGCATCATCGTTACGCTTTACGAAAGGTAACCCTCTTTATCGATGAATTTTCGAATGTGATGATATGAAACCCCGATAAGAAAACTCGAAGAAATGAGTTGCGTTCACCTTGGACATCCATCAAACAGTTAAAATCTAAACACAAATTTTCTAGAGTGATGTTTGATATTAATATGAATTTCTCCACCAAACAATATTTTGTAATCTTCATGAATCATCCTTGTAAGCTTAAATACTTTGGAGGATGTCAAGACAAAAAGTTGTTCCATTGACTTCAACAACTTGAAATCATTGCAAAAACATAGCAACTCCATAACCTTCAAATTTGTGCCCAAGTCATCGAAAAAGTGTAATTCCTGCAACAATAATATTCTATCACTCCAGTAATGTACAGTAAGAGATTTTTTGTGCGTCTTTATTAATCTCAATATTTTGGAACAATTCAGAAGGAGCTTCAGACCTTTAACATCAAGCTTATGTAAAGAACAGACAGAATAAATTAAACGGAGAGAATCATGCAATTCAAATTCTCTGATGCAGTTGTTTCCATCATCACATTATCTGGTTTCAAAGAAGTCGAAAACTTACGACGGAATCTGACGAAAACTTACACTTTTTCATGTGTAAGTGTTCCTTGGTATATATCGGGCCATTTTAACAAAACAATCTGTGGAATCCATGACGAACTTTTAACCTTGTCAATATATTTGTCTACCATTAGTCGAATTCGCGTGGTAGTAAAGCATCATCATCTATCAACTTCGAGCATTGTAAAGTGGAAGTTGCACTCTTCCAGGACTTTGATAGAGTGGAGACACGAATCACGATGGCATAAATCCATGAACGACAAAATATGCTGCTTAATTTCCTTCGCAATCCCTCCTCACGCTCGTCCATCTTTAGTAGCTGAGGCGAAGGGAGATTAGTTAGGACAGTGACGGAACCAGAACTTCTAAACTGGAGGTTCAACCCTTTTTATTATTACTACCCTTGGTGCTGAATTATTTCGTGAAGACTCAATGTATGGTTTAGGCTTTTGATAAAAGAATCCATACAAAAAGACATTCGAGATAATAAATAACAAAATACAAGTCAAAACTAAAAATCAAAACTTACTCGCAAAACTAGGACAACTGAACAAATGTTGGGAAGAAAAATACTAAATGCAATTTGCACCGTTTAACTTTTTAGAGAATTGAATAAAACAGAACACACTCAGTAAAAAAGAAGGATTACAATTTATAAGGTAGTACATGTCATAATTAGTTATTTAATAAATCCTAAATTAAAGATATGAAAGAAATTGAATTAAAAAAAAATAGACAATTAAAAAACTTAATTAAGTTTGTTAGCCATCAGTAGAGGACAAGAGCAGAAGGATTGAAAATCATCATTTTTTTTATTATAATCCACAAAGATGGGCAAAGAGTTCAAGTGAATTTTTGTTGTTTAATCCCTTGTGGTTCTTTTTTTAATGATCAGCAGGAGAACAATTCTTGTTTATTATAAACTAGATGTTAATCCCGCACCGTTGTGCGGGGTAAATAAATTTTAAATTTATTTTTTTACTAAAAATATTTTTAAGAAAAAACAAATATAATGAACAATCTTAAATGTTTAATTTCGATGTTAATTGAGGAAACACTATGTGACATATTAAATAATTCACGTGGACCTAATACAAATATGTAGAATACAAAAATAAAATTTATCAAGTGGTAAAGGTAAAGACAAAGTTGATCAGAATTTGAATAAAAGAGCGTCATTTGGATAAATAATTTTATTTATTATATATATAACTTTATTTTCTCTCTGATTTACTTTGGGATTAAGGTTACTTTATGGGCATTGTTGTTTTATTCCATTAATTGTGTCTAAACGTTATTAGTCACCTTGTTTTAGAGTGATCCCAAATGCAAATTGGACTATTATGCTCAAAGGCAATCGATCATGGAAAAATGTCATAGAGTAAAACTCTGTATATATCCACCCTAATTATAAAAATGTTATCAAAATTATTGTGTTAAAATTGGCTCCTAATTTTTCGTTTTTTTTAAAAGTCATATTTTTAGGGATTTACTTAAACTATTGTCATATAAGATGAACCTAATTTAGTGTTTAATTTAACATAAAATTTAAGGGTATTAACACAATTTCCATAACTTATTTTTTTGAGAACACATGAAGTAATTACACATAGGATTTTATCCTAGTTGTCACTCTAAAAATGAAACTTAGTTTCTCTCTCCGGTTTCTCTATTAAATATAAACTATTTCCTGTCACATGAAACGAAAGAATTTGATGTACCTTAGGGCAGTGAAGAAAAAAGGAAAAAGAAGCAATTTTACGTAGTATATGAATGAAAGTAATTAAAAGCACAAATGTAATTAAAATTAACTAAATCAAAGTTTTAAATTGCAATGATAGTTTGTACGAACTTAATAATGTATATTGGGTTTTACTATTACTTTAGTCTAATAACTCAAAGTAAATTATTTTTTACCAATAAAGAAGTTTATAATTACAAATTCAAATAACCTACTATAAAATGAGATTGAGAAAAGATTTACTAATCAAATGGAATTATAGCTAATCATAATAACATCATATAATACATGGAAAACCTAATCATTGAAATGATATTTTTTGTTATAAATATGTTAAGAGGTCACCAACAAAACCACAAGTCCTCATAATTATTTATAGTATAGTATTTTATGATTTTGTTGAAATACAATTGTGTGTATTTATTATTGGGCATACGTTATGTAATTAAGATATTTAATAATAATTCCATTTCGTTTTAAAAGGGTAGCAGATCATTAGTGAACCAATATGTAATATAGTCCCTA